GTATCGAAAAACAAACAATAAGAACACTTAGGTTACCGAGTTTAGAGTTTCTACAGCGGCATTTCTGAAGAGTGGCTTTTTGAATCTTTAATATTATAACTGGCAAGGATCTAAATTTAGTTCAACAAGATAATAAAAATGAAGAAACCTTGGGCTGGAGATATGGCTCAGTGGTTAAGAGCACTAGCTGCTCTTCCAGAGGTCCTGAGTTCAATTCCCAGCAATCACATGGTGGCTCACAACCATCTGTAATGATATCTGGTGCCCTCTTCTGGCTTGCAGGTATACATGGAGGCAGAATGTATATATACATAATAAATAAATAAATATAAAATAAATAAATAAATAAATAATACTTATAAAAGAAAAGAAATATCAGAAAACATGTACACATGTGAAATACTAATAAAAGAATATATACAAAGGTGAAATTTTTGAAATAATATATATTATAATATTTTTTTCTAAATGAAAACCTCAATCTATTGCAAAATTATCATCACTAGTAGTTATCATGTTTTTCTTTTTCATTTAGTAAGTGGAAAAAGTGTAAGCAGTAAATTAATATTTGTCCTCTTGTTCATCTTTAGTTTGGCTGATAGTACTACAAAACAAATTTAAGATGGAGTGAGAAATAAATCAGCAGCTATGATTGAGCTCTCTAAGATTACTGTAGGATTTGCCAAAAATGTTGTAAGTGAGGTTTCTTTCCTTGTTGTGTCTTATTTCACATTTTATGCACAGTTGGAATGCACACACTCCTATAATCAGAGACCAGGACTGCATATAATAGTGTTAGCAATGCCGGGAGGTGGAGGTGGAATTAAAGGCAGGTGAATCTCTGGGAGTTCGAGGACAACGTGATCTACAAGATCTAAAAGAGCTACTTCCATGACAGGCACCAAAGCTACACAAAAATCTTGTCAAAAAAAAAAGAGAGAGAGAGAGAGAGTCAAGGTCTGTCTATATCCAGGTCTCAGTTGGACCTTGAAATAACCAATACTGACTGTTTATTTGTCTACACAAGGCAGACTACTCACATGTACAGGAGTCAGAGTCCTTGGAAATTGGCAAAATCAGAACTTACATTTACAATAACTGTTCCCACTGTTTTGAAAAATTTGACCAATGTATTCTATTATCTACCTTGTCACGGTTCTTACAAAGTTTTGTGCCAGAATCACATTCTATGTAAAATTGTAGTACTAATATAAAAATATCTTTTTAGTCCTTAAATTATTTTCTTAGTTAAATATGGTAGTGTTTTATATATTTCAAACTGTTTTTAGCTCTTAATTATTATTATTACAAATTTTCACCTCCTCCCCTTCTCCCATTTCCCTCCCCCTCCTCCCAATTTCCTCTCCCCCTCCCTCACCAGTCCAAAAAGCAGTCAGGGTTCCCTGCCCTGTGGTAAGTCCAAGGACCTCCCCCCTCCATCCAAGTCTAGGAACTTGCATATCACCATAGAACTTTTTTTAAATTATTTATTTATTTATTAAAGATTTCTGTCTCTTCCTCGCCACCGCCTCCC